AAATGCTAGCATAGCAGCAGTTAGCATGGGTCGTCGTCACCTGTGTGACCACAAACCACCACATAATATAGATTATATGAACCAAAACGTTTCAGATACAGTCCAGGATCTGGAGATTGCCATCTACTATTTAGGCGACTAATGAAAAAAAAAGATCTGATGTTCTTTTGTGAATCGCTGATAACCACGAAAAACTGCTGCCTAAAATATTCGCTGTCTACGCCTACAAATGGAAGCAGGGTATTAGCCAGGAATGAGTATTGTGGGCATGCAGAAAAAATATTTGGGAGTGCAATTTTTGTACGTGTGTCTTTAGGCCGTGCTACACATTTTTGGCCGTGCAGTTTCAAAACTGACCATGCAAATCACGGCTGCACGGCTCGCTGGCTAATACTTTGAATGGAAGTCTCTACTACAAACAAATCAACGTTTGCGCAAGGGTATTATTGCAGTAGCGTGCAGTTCCAATCCAACTAAATTCGGCACGCGACGCGTTTATCTGTCACACGCACTGTGTCCTGTGACGCTCACCTCTGAAACACCTTGTTAGCGTGAGCTGGACCAGACGTCTCTGCTGTGGTCGTCGACGTGGTGATCCTCACTGATGGCCTTCACGACGAACCACTCTATGATGAGGCTGCGAAGCACGACTACAGCTCTCAGGGTCTACCCAACGTGATCTACACACAGCAAACACTCCCACCATCATCTCAAATTCAGCAGAGACAGGAACTAGTTTTTGAGGCAAGCCAGTTAACAACTCGCAAAGTATCCAGTGCTTTATAATACAATATATATATATATATATATATACATATATAGTTAGCACTTGCAATGGCATAAGGCGAATGAATATCTGGAGAACTTGCATACCCGAGAAGGCTTATATTTCAACATGGCATTTCAGTGCTGTATTTGGCAGCCTGCACACTAACATTGGCTAAGTAGTTCACAATTCATCTGTTACGTACACAAAGGTACCATTCATGATAATATAAATACATGTGTACACATGTATGCACGCACTCAGGTTATCATTTTCACACCTTCAATATAGCAGAGGATCCCATAGGCCTAATAAGTTGAACTGTCATCTCTTGTGGAAGAGAAGTGCAAGACTTGAGACCAGACTATCACATTACTGAATAAAAACAGTGTTTTTTTATAAACATTCCTGTGTATTCAAACAAGAACTAATAAACATGAATCAATGCTACAATGCTTTGTGTACTAACTATGGTTTTCAGGAAGGTTTATATATCTATGCATTACTCGAATATTTTCAGGAAAATATACTTGCATGTTGACTAATCTTCATTCACCTCTCCCCAAACCTCAAATAATACCAAGTAGGTTCCTAAATTTATGCATAACAACAACAAGAGCCAAGCTATACTGGTTTTACCCTAATATAAAGTGTGTGAGTGATATCTACATCACTTCTAAATACTTTATTCTCATACTCAATCCTGTTCACGCTAATGGAAATGCACCAACGTTCACTTACTGCGTGTGGCACCTGCATGTATGGTTGGACCAGGCCTGCGCAGCCGCTTCGTTGCAATGCTGGACATAGTTGTGGAGCGTTTCAGTGTATTGGAACTTAAGATAGATGAAGGCAACTCCTGCATATTCGTGCAGCTGAAATGGATTATATTTACACACGGAACTGAAGCCTCTTATGGAGATAAGTAAGGAGGCAGACGTCACATACCCGCGATTTTGTAGAAATATGAAAAATACACCTGACAAATGTAAGTTACTAGGACAAAACTATCTTTTCTGCATAATTTTACCCAAAATGTATACTATTTCTAGTAAATGTAAAAGTAAAGCATTTCCGTGTCAATACTCGAGTCACAAAATTGTGTCTGGCCCTCTTAACATTTTCTCAGATCATGGCCATAGTGAATTTTCTAGTATAGCAACCAAAACGATATTGCTATTTTCATTCAATATATTTCAAAATAAAATGTGAATGTAAAATAAAAAATGTTAGTCAATAATAACATTTTTAGCAACAAAGAGATGGGAACACAGTAGCAGCACCATTCGGTGACAACTGTGACACAATAATTTAGGAAGACAATTGTCTTTCTGAATAAGCCAAATACCACATAATATGTGATTCGTGAATGCTCCATTCTACACATGTATGTATAATTTATATTCTAAACATCTACAGAAAGATCCCTCCAAGTTCATGAATCCAGCCTTATCCGACCACTTGTAGGTGTGAAGGAGTTGTCCATAAGAGGAGCACGGTCATGCACTGGGTCCTGGTTGAGTAGTCCTGTATTGCAATGACATCTGTGGGCCTCGCTCTGGCGCAGATCATTTGAAAATTGTGAGATATCGCTGTGAAGCAAAGTATTATGAACATTACTTCATGTGTCTCCTACCTAAACCGGTGTGTAATTAGTTCAATATATTGATTACCCTAATTATAATTAGCTCAATATGTGATTACGACCTTGTTAATATTAAAGGCTCACAATGCGCATCCAAACGCTAATTTCTCCAGTACTAGACTGGCAAATACCTTCGTGGCATGCATACTCACACTACCTTATGACAAAATAAACTCTAGTTCCTCCATTTCATTGCGCGCTGTCTTTATAAAGATATTTGAAAATATACCTCCAATGTTGTTCAAATTCTCCGATGTTGTTGACAGTTTCCCAATCCCAAGCAACCGTGCAGCGCGTGCTTGCGCGTACAGCAGTACGGGTGTAGCAAAGATAAAAACATGTGACGTCACGTCACCACTTCGAGGCTATATTGTTTGGCAAACAGCCGGCGTTTGCGCCAGAATGCCAGTTTTCTCACTCTTTCTTGTGAGTTTTAAGCAAACTTGCAGTGAAATGAGAGCAACTAGAGTTTATTTTGTCATAAGGTAGTGTGATTATGCATGACACGAAGTATTTGCTAGTCTAGTACTGGAGAAATTAGCGTTTGGATGCGCATTGTGAGCCTTTAACATTTGAGTTTTTAACATATGTAGCCTGTCAGATCAAAACATGGCGTAGGACTTCAATTTTCATTCTAAGTTAGTGATTTTTCACCTAAAAGTAGTAGAAAGCCGATTTTTTTTGTCATAAATACCTTTAGTATTTATCCATGTTCGATGTTACATCAATAAAACTGGCCAAAAGTGTGTCTTTATGTGTTTATTAATGTTATTTTATGTGTTTATTTACCTTAACTGTAAGCTACCATTTTCGTACTTCATACAGTGGATGGTTATTATGTCTGGTACGTTCATGCAAAAATTCATGTGTCTAGCTCAATGGGAATATGTTTTTTTAGATTTTTGTCCAAATGAAGGCCAAATGAAAACAAACTTTAACTTTATGACCTAATTACTCTGAACTTTGTTTTCCAAAATCGGCCCGATTCCAACTACTCAAATGCTCATGACTTCCGAACCATGTGACCTAGGAAGAAGATATTGGTGTCAAAATAACCAGAATTGAATGGTCTTTCTGGTAAAACTACTAACTCATAATGTCCGAATTGAGTCCTACGGCATGTTTTGATCTGACAGGCTACATATAATAGAAATTTGCATAGAACATGGACTTTATTTCAGTTTTGCCACTATACCTGTTAAACATGTTAAAACTATACATTATAATATTTGCCATTGCTATGTTCATATTTACCAATCTGGGCTTTGTTTGCAAATATGGTGGTGTTTCACTATTTGTGTACACGTATATAAATACGTAACCCAACAGAGAAGGGTCTACAGGGCACGTATCTATTTAATCTAAAAAATAAACCTGTATCTTTGAACCTATATGAACTGAAAATATGCAAGGAACCTAGAGTCATATATCTCCTTAAAAACACAAAGCTATAAAAATAATCTGCTATGTACAGATAAAAAATGTAAGCAGAACTAATTTTGAATCAGCTGTATAAGCCTATCACTTAGGGCAGCTCAAGGATAGAGAGCATGGTCCCCAATAAAATCCGACAAATATCCAAAAAAGCGACATGTATATATATATTGTGCGTGCGTGCGTGCGTGCGTGTGTGTGAAAGACAGAGCGAGAGAGCGAGAGAGGACGGATGAAATGATAGACGGCAGCAGTGCATATATTGTATATTTACGGCAATCAGCAGAGCGTCCCGTTGCGCAATCATGCGTGTACGCAAGTTGCGCGATCACTGTGTGAGTGGATGTCCGGATGCGTAGCCTGGAGACTAGGCGACCGGTTCCGGACGCGTAGCCACTGCGATAATTATATGCTCTGGTATTAGTACTATTACTAATACTATTAGTATTACTTAGTATTAGTAATGATGCTCCATACTCAGTATCACTATCAGTATCAGTATCAGCACTGTATCACTATCAGTTTCAACAGAGCACGTATGATATCCGTGCTCTGGAATCAATTATCATACTCGAGTCATAGTCATACGCCTACACTGCTCAATCCTAGTTTGTGCCGCGTTTGGGCCTACAGGCACTTGGAGCGTTTCAATAAAATATAATGCTAAATAAATACAAAATCTATTTACTACCAAAGTCTTAATGTTTCTCTACTCTCTTTCACCTATTATTGCCGGAAATTTCCTGTAAATGCTGTCAAAATGCTCATCTGTAACACACGCTGGCTGCCGCACGCTAGCTGAGCACTGCACACTGACACATAAATATATTTATGTGTCAGTGTGCAGCAGCTAGCATGTGGCTGCCAGCATGTGTTGCATGTGAGCATTTAGACGGCATTTGCAGGAAATTGTCAGCAATAATAGGTGAAAGAGAGTAGAGAAACATTAAGACTTTGGTAGTATTAGTAAATAGATTTCGTATTTATTTAGCATTATATTTTATTGAAACGCTCCAAGTGCCTGTGCACCGGCCCTTATTTTCGCAAATGTGCTAAGCTAAGCCAGGGACACTGGCGTGCTAAACTAAGATTTGGCTACCCTGACACTGTTAGTGTTACTCCTACTCTTAGAGGCTATAATTATTTTCTCTCTATTTTGACTCTATTATTAATAGTAATAATTATATATGAATGTATATATAATATAATGACTTGATGATATTTTGTGTGGGTATCTTTAATGTTGCCAGATTTGTCAGACGTTTTGAGCAATTATGATGTTCTACACCAATCGCAAATATCACACATCATAGTGAAAAGAGGCACCAAGGGAAAAGGTGACCACGTAAAGGAACTTAAATTTTCCGGACTTGGAAGGTAACAAAGCATTAATTGTGACATGATCACAGTGTCAGAGGTTTACTCATAAACTAATTAGCTTCCAGAAATGATTATTATACAATTGAGTGTGTTCTACTGTAATGCCAATATGTGCAGTGACTACTAGTTTGTCTACACATTTTTTTCTAGACACGTATGCATGCATGAATGCATGCAGGTACACGTGTATGCAGCAGCAGAACATTGAAGACACATGCCACATGCCCGTGTGTGTAAAATAATTCATTAATTGGTGATCAACATTTATACATGATTAAACTTTTAATTTTTCCAGACATTTCACATTGTCATTAAAACCAACAGTGGGGTTATTATCGCCCCAGTTCAAAGCATATGTTGTGGATGGGTACGGCAACAAAGAAGCTGTTCCTGTTGATCCAGAGATTTTCTTTTCGGGTGTTGTCACAGGTAAACACAATTGATAATAATGACTTGCTGCTAAGTCTTTGCTGTTGCACTTTAATGTGATTGTCTCAGGTGTGCTCATGTGCTCAGGTGTGTGTGTGAGGTAAAACTGTTCTTTTTTGAGCATTTTGGTCATGTCAGTATTTACACCCATTAATTCTTTGCCATTTGATGCATAAATTACATTCTGTCTTTGTTGTATGCTATGAGGTAATCAAATATTAAATAAACATAAAATATGCCATCGTAGTATATTAATGAAAAGCAAGATAATATTAGCAGGAATATAATGAATATTACAGTACTGGTGTCAGGTTTTGAAATAGATGTATGTTAAATAAAGACAGAAACAATAGAATACAAAGCTGCATGGCTCCAGACTTGCAGATATGTATATCTAAAACAACATAGAAATTAGATTACATTAAAATTCCTACATTTTTATGCCAATAATATAGGTGAGAAAACATCTAGTGTGCAAGCCTATGTGGACGATGACAACCTGTTGACTGCCACCATAGCAACACCTGATGACACATATCACATCGAGGTACCACAAGTCAATTGACTGAGATACTTGTAAACCTACTCATTGCATTGAAGTTTTTGTCACGTTGGTAATGAAACTGTGCTAAGCGAAATGTCATTAGATATTACAGATGAGAAAAAATGTGTATGTATTACATTTCGAATTGCTTGATTTTGTCAGCCGATGTGGCAGTATGCTCCTGAAGGAGGAAATGACTCGATGGTCATGTACAAGGGATCTGATGTCAAAAGAATTCAGAAGCACCACTCACATGACAGGTAATTTCATAGTGGTATCAATTATACATATGTTTCATGGCTGTTACTCTGCATAGGCATTATGCTCTTATTGACTTATTTTCTATTCATATACATAAATAAGCAGACATTTTTATAGTTTTTCAGCAGTACCTGCATCCTTAATCAAATTTCAAACGTGTGTTTAGTTTCTGTGGGTACGTGACACCACCCCCAGGAGTTATTGTGGACAACAAAATTGATGATGAGGAGCACAAGAAGTCAAAGAAAGGGAAAAATCAGGGATTCTCAAAGGAAAATGACATTGCAGACAAACACAGCCGAGTGAAGCGCCAACAGCAAAGCAGTCATTCCGATGGAAGGACACGTTGTTCTCTGTTCCTCGTTGCTGACTATAAATTCTTTAGTGAAATGGGACAGGGTAACAGATTGAATACGATTAATTACCTAGTAAGTTTGATTACATTGTGTGGTAGACATTGAGAACAAGATAGTAAGCATTGTGCACTTATAGTCACTAAATTAAAAGTTTTAAGTTTCATAGCAGATTGCTAACATCATTTGTAATGGCAAAGACACTGTTATAAATGGGTGTCATAAACCTTTGAGAGTCAGCTTTGAGAAAGCCCCCTGTCAGGAGGCGAAACGTCAGCTGTACGTTTTCAATCTTCACGGTTAAGTAACAATGAACCCAGTTAAATCTATTAGTCTACCAACCGAATAAACTTATTTAACGAGTCATAAACTTTGTTTTGTATAGATTGGTTTAATCCATGTGGTCAATGAGATATACCTATCTACTACGTGGGAGAAGAACATCACAAACATGGCGTTTGTTGTGAGAGATATTCTCGTACACAAAGAGGCACAGAAGAATCTAGCCGTTGGCGATGAACATTACAATATGGACAAAAGTGGATGGGATGTAAAGAACCTGCTAACGGTGTGTAGTCAGACTTCATTAGTCACAGATGTTCACCTCTAGTGCAGTAGCTATATTAGTATAATTAGTTGTACATAGTAAAGTAACTAAATTTCTTCTTTCTGTTGTTGCTGGTGACGTTTATTTATTTGTTGTTTGTTTGCATGCTATAATCCTACCATATATCTTAAGAACATTGTAGGAAGTAACCTTTGCTCCCTCAGGCTTTCAGCAGAGGTAACTACAGATCATATTGCCTCGCTCACTTGTTCACGCATCAGAAGTTTGCTGGTGGAGTTCTAGGTCTGGCTTATGTCGGGTCACCCCGTCAGCACACTGTTGGTGGCATTTGTACACCTGGTAGGTTAGGATAAATGTTTGTAAAATATAGATTAACGTGTAAAAGATGTATCCTTATGTCTTTCTTGTGCCAATTTAAATCACTTGCAGCTTGATGTTTTATGTGCATTTAAGTATGCCCTAAAAGGGTAAAGTTACAAAATGTGTTCTCCACATCAGCATAAAATACAAGCAAGCATTGAAAAACCATTTGAATATTTGTTGTGTATTAAGAGTTCCAGCAGGCTGTTTTTCTGTCCCTGCAGAATACTATTCGGATGGAGTTTTATGGCTGAACACCGGGCTCAGCAGCTCTCTCAACTATGCCAATAGAAAGGTTGTGAAAAAAGAAGCAAATATTGTGACTGCTCATGGTAAGGAATTACTGCCCAACACTGCAGCACCTTCTTATTGCCCTGGTTTATCTGCATTTGATTTGACACAATCTAATGTAAATTACATTTTTATGTTGTTCGTGGAACTTTCTGAGCTTCAGGCAATAAGTTTCAGAGAAAGTAGCTAACAGCATGTTAGAAAATTCAGTTTAAGAAAATGAAAGAGAATATTAATTAGATTCACGGTATTATATGGCTTCTTGGAGATTTATTGATGGGTAGATACTACATGAGGTGGCACTACAGGTAATACTACTTATGTGAGAAAGAACAGTTACACAATGAAAATACTCTTAAGAGATTATGTATAAACAATGCTGTTGTCTTACCATCAGAACTTGGTCATAACTGGGGCAGTGAGCACGATCCAGACACTGACGAATGTGCGAATCCTGACGGTGGATCTTACATAATGTACACCTACTCCGTCAGTGGTTACTACAACAACAATGACAACTTCTCTCCATGTAGCAAACGCTCCGTCGGTATGGTGCTGCAAGCAAAGGCATCGAAATGCTTTACAGGTGTGTCTTGCTATGGTTGTACATGTAGTGTAACAAGGCAGAGTGGGACTGTAAACTCGAACCAAGCTTAGAAATTGTGTTTATTTTGCAACAAAATTTATATCGACCTATCAATATAGAGCATTATGGATTGGACTTGATGACTCAAGGGCCTTTTCTGTCCCAAGGCATTCCATGATATTTTTACTTTCCACTATAATAATGTAGACCTCTATCTAAAAATTGCTATAGTTAAGCTAAGCTATTTGTGAGAATTATTAATTAAATCTTGATTATAATTCAATCAGTAGTGAGACAACATTCATTTCATGACATCTTTCAGTAATGTGCCGACCTGTTTACTTTTTACAGAACAATAATAATTGGCGATGATAACGTTTTGAGCAGTATATACGATAATTATACTTGCTGATTTTTTAGAGCCAACAACAGCATTTTGTGGCAATTTTTTGGTGGAGGAAGGAGAAGAGTGTGATGCAGGCTTGATAGAATCTGGTGAGGAGGACCCATGCTGTACCCACAACTGCGAACTCAAGTCAGAATGCAGGTATTTGTCACGTCAAGTGTCAAGTTACGTATTCTACCCGAATGAGTTTATCTCAGCATGGATTGGTTCTGATGTAATTTTGAAAAATGACAAAATTCTACCCATATAATTTACAACTGCATCTGTGAAACAAACCGTGTGACATGTAATATCTACACTCTGATTTCAGTGACAAAAACTCCCCATGCTGTGATGGATGTAGCTTTGCGAATAAGGGGTTCGAGTGCCGAAAGGCAAGCCAACTTGATGCACTGTGTGAGAAAGATGCAGAATGCACGGGCACATCTGCAGAGTGTCCTAAGGGCAGTCCTGTTGAGAATGTGAAGAACGTTTCCTGCCTTGACTCCGGAACATGTATTGACGGGATTTGCGTCCCATATTGTGAAGTGCGTGAGATGTTTTCCTGCGTGTGTGATGGAGGTAAATGCGAATGTTTCTAATGGGTGCACAGCTCATGAAACTCACTTTGCCATGCATTCTTGGTGCATGAAAGGCTATGAAAATAGTTGCGTTCTAAATCTTCTGATTCTAAATGTCCCGATATACTCTTAATGTCTGTATGCAAAGTATCCAGATTTTACAGTTTTTTTCTGCTGTTCACACAGTATTGTGTACTTTCAGCCATTTTAGAAGATCTTAAAATAATTTCTATATACATGCTGTACATATGTATATGTCATTGTTGCCATTGGCTGCGAAATAATGATGTACAACCACCAATGTTTATCTTAGGTGACGGATGCAAACGTTGTTGTCGTAGTGCCACAAGAAACTGCACCAAATACACAAATCAAGATAATCCATTTGGCATTCAGTTGGATGAAGGCCAGCCATGTCATCTTGGCATATGCAGTGATGAGGTAATGTGAAATTATAGGATGTTATACCACCTAATGTATGCCGCTAATGCATTATAATGATAACGTTTTTTAGCTTGCTGCTATAAATCTTTCCAATACGAGTTCTAGTCAAATGATCCCCACGGAAATACCAGTATGCTCAGATATTGCCTCAAGTGGCAAAACTGCATTCAATAATCGGCATCGATTACTTTAGGGTATATGTGAGAAGACACAGCAAGATGCAGTTCAGCGATTTTGGAACATTATCGAAGACATCGATATTAACTACATATGTAAGTTGAGTTTAAGCACGTTCTCTTCCTAAACACTTAGATAATTTTTTGCCACCCACATATGGGCAAAATATAACCACCATCTGCCACATTGTTGGTTACATTGTAGTGACTACTATTTGTGTAGTCTTCTATCTGTTAAACTTACTATTGCGAGATTTTTGCTCAGAAAAACTAAATATAGCTGAATATAGTCTCACCTGACAGTGGAAATATCGCTGAGAGGGTCTATGTCCGCCAGGGTACTATCAGAGGGTACCCTGGGTACGGTTCGATATATCGGATTGTACCCTTGTACTATCTAATATGCCGGACCGTACCTCGCCTACTCCACTAAGGAGTCTAGGGAGTCGCCTATGCCTACTCCCTAACCCTAACCATATCAGATAGTTACCATGCAGGGTACGGACCGATATATCGAACCGTACCCAGGGTACCCTCCGATAGTACCCTGGGGGACATAGACCCTATGAGCGAAAATATCACTGATTTAACCAACATTAAAAACACTAAGATTTTATGCAGTTATAGCATAGAAAAATGGATTTGACCAGATCATACCAGCAATAAATTTTATCGTGTCCCTACTCACAAAATCACAAATGGCGCCTTCAAACCAAGTGCATAATTAAAACAAAAGGGCGTGCAATTCTGTGTGGTAAATATTATTGAGTTTTTATGTCAATAATTCAGAGCACTTTCTGTCATTGTCATTCCAGTGTTACTATCTGACTGGTAATCCACAAGCTTCTCTAATAACAGACTTTACACGTCATTAGTACTACACTCCTGTTACGCTAGTATGAACGTCTGTGTTTACACTCTGACCCGATTTCTGTGGTGCGACTATGCATTACTGCACCGTGATAGTTGTCTCGCGCTACCGCGAGAAAGTCCGAGAGATGGCAACGGTAAACATAAACAGAACGCAAAATTGTAATCGTGCATGATTTGGTAAATACGAAGGTTCTAAGACATTTTATCGTTACTCTAGACAATTGCTGTTACTCCAGCAATAACGGTAGGTATCATGAAAGTGGGGAAAACACTGGAAATTTCTCGCAATAGTTACTTTAACTTTGTTGAAAGTCAGTGTTGACAAATATTTCACTTGATACTGATGTGCATTACAATGGATGATGCAGAATCTGTCTAATATGTGGTGTCAAATGTTTCAGTGGAATTCATCCATGACAATATAGTGGGAACAGTCATCATTCTCTCGCTAATCGTCTGGATACCAGCCAGTTGCATCGTGAACTACGTTGACAATAAAAGGCGCGAGAAGGAAGAAGAGGAAATGACGTGGAGAAAACCTGATGTAAGTTTTATCCACAAGGCCTGCGTAAATTACGACACACCATCACATATCCCCATGGCGCAAATCAATGAGGAGTCTGAGAAAGACATGGCAGCATTTAGGATTAATAACTGCTCGCTTGCCACCGACATAGCTGTGAGCAGTCTCACAAGCCACGCTAACTACCAGAAAGACCAAGATGAGGTTTCCTCGCCTAATAAAGTGAATAACCCAGATCTGCTAAGTGATTCAATGTTCAGAGGTGATGACAGCGCTGCGATGGCTGGCCATGATGGTTCCGGTGGACCAGCTGAGCTGTTGACCGATTCTGGTAAATCAGCCCCCTGTGACACTTGCACTGAAGGCGAGATGAAAAATGATGCTGTTAAAGACAATAATAATAACCTAGTATATTCATGTATCGCAGATGATGCTGGCGCTGTGAAGGTATTGGATAATGGATGTAGTAGTATGATTGAGGCAACTGCCATCGAGCGTGACAACAGAGGGAGATCCAAAGAGGGAGATGGCCGTAGAAAGGTTTCCAGCAAACCGAATTACTTTAATTTTGATTTTCAGTATAGTGACAGAATACAGGGGCAAGTATACTACCCTTGACACACGGATTCTTTGACATAAGGCACTTTTACCTAGTATAGGTAGTGCTGTACTTGGTTTGACAGTCACCATTTCATTAGATCCCACGACGTCCACGTAAATGTTGCTTTGCGGCGTATTTTTTTTCCAAATAAAATGACTTATCGCAAAATTATCTCTGTTTAATTCTGTTGGCTAGTGGCAGAATGCAAGTAGACCAGCAGACATGGAAAACGTATAGTTATTTGATCTTAAACAGGACGATCTTTCAGACATATCACGTGCTTGACTTGCTGCGAAGTCACCACGTGTTGTTCGAGATTAAATGTTGAGAGCAAAGAGTGCGTTCGATAATTAGCAGAAAACAGGAATTGTTATTTGGTCAATCAATGTATGTATCAATCGAATCCAATCAATGTATTTTTATCAAAGTTTCTTTTATTAGAAAAGTAAACACGAATAAACGATTTCCCCTAATATGCCATGTTTATAAATTGCATTGGAGGTGGTTACAATGCCCTAAATGCAGTCTCTCGTACTTGGTGCTGCTCCCACTGACGTGGAATTGCTCGTGTTCAGTAGTTGTTATCCAACCGAACAACCTGAAAAAAATGAAGACAAACCATAGTGCCAAACTGCCAACCATAACAAACGACGTAGACCACAAGGAAACGATCGGGGTGAAGGTGTCGTAAAAATATAATTAAACTGTGGAGTGTTCAAGGACATTGAAACGATTACTACTCTTATTATTACAATAAATAGCTACTTTACTGCATGCTATACATATGTGAACTCGGATTACTCTGGCAAGACTACACTTGATACTTTCTGTATTGGTGCATCAATTAATATGGCATGTCATGTGGTAAATTGAATTAGCAGTCAATCATATGTATAGCCATGCATCACAGAAGTATAATCTGTATTTTGGGTGCAAAAGAAGTTTAGTAAACAATGCATTAGTCCTTGCAATTGTATATAATGCCATCTACAATTAATGTACATGAATAATGCTGAATCGCATAGGAATATAATGGCATCAGGGGAGACATCCTAATTAATTATATAATTTGTAATTGGTACATAGAAAGTCACCGATTAATGGTTTTTACAATGCCTGGAAAGCATTACATGACAACGTTCTCTGTGAGTTATTATCAGGTGTTTGCCTGTTGAACATGTTGAAATAGAAATAAAGTTGTTATAGCATATTTAATATTTAGCCTTCTAGTGAAAAGATCTATTTGTCCCCCTGGTAGTCACCTGACATTGTTTAACATACGACACCTGCTTGTCTATTGCAGAACACAAATCTGATTCGGGATTATGATGCAAGTCGAATACGAAATTTTGGGACGCGTACGGTGAGGTCGATGCGAGGAAACAACAGTGCACAGCCTTCAGCTGCCCCACCATTTACTAACATAGTGGAACCATCTGTGGACTATTAAGTTACACTCAACCTTAGATGGCTTCTACTGCCTATGTACTACTTAGCTGACCTCTACGTGAAATTGTGTTATGATACAATGTACGTTGGAGAGGTGTCATTATCACTGTGCAACTTATAAGAATCTCGTATTGTACCGTTGCGTGTAGGTTGAAGTATTGTGATACCAATGATATAGGAATCTTTTTAGTTTTAAAACAAATTGTGATTTAGACTCAATTTCTAAGTAAGTTATATCACACTTTTTTTATCAGTTTTTCGACCTGAATGTCCTGTGATTAGATTATAAAATGTGATGGGTGATTAGACTATAAAAAATATAAAAATGAAATCATTGGAACGTTTGAACGTTCATTATTCATATTTCATGCATTTTTCTTTTGGCAGCAAATCAGTTCTGCGGTTTCTAGCTGTGTGACATTAATTGAAGCCACATGTTTTTATATGGCTTGCTACTAAGCATAGACAAATAGCTATATGATCGTGCAATATCAAGAATTCCATATATTACAAATATATTATTTATATGAGAATGCTATGCCTTTTTTCTCTTTCTGTATTCTAGATATATCACACATACCATAATAACATGTGTAATGTTTTTTTTATAATACAAGAATACTGAATATACAACTCAGCGAATTGAAATTGAAAGATTCATCAAGTAAATTAAATTTAAATTTTATAAAATGCTTTGATGCCTTTTAGAAGTCATCCAGAATTCAAAGTATATAATACTTTATAGTAGTATACTAATACAAGCAAATATACTTGCCAGTTTCTAAACTCTAGTGTGTCACGTTTTTAGCGTCTTCTTGAATCGCAGATACTGTTAAAAGTAATGATAACTTATCATAGGCATATAGGCCAGTTAATAACAAAATTACAATGAACAACATTTCCTAATACTAATAATTCCAACCTACAGTGATAGGTTATTTACAGAAGCTTCATTATCAGTAATTAACACTAATTATATTAACACGTAAGCTACTGGCTTCATTTGAAGACAACTGGGTATATCACTTGCACTGTACTAATCACAACGAGTGCGGGAAACCGTATGTCATGTAACTATTTTTTATGTTATACTGTGTCCCAAATCAGGGGAATATAAACATGACCCTTTAACATAGTCAAATCTGGCATGAAGCTTAGAACAAAGCTTACACAAGCAGACGGTAGGATAGAAAAAAATCTTCCGCAGGCAGAATTCGCGAAATGGAAATTAAATGCAGTCACACTGCAAAACATAATTTTAAACTAGGTGCAGAACAGGAGAACAGAAACCTATTGCAGACACACTACAGGCGACAGGAGAATGCAATGTTTTTTCATGCAGTTTGCAAGAGAAAGAATATTAAAGTGCAAGATTCGTTGGGAGAACAAGTCATTGCCAGCAGGTCTCAGGGTTAGATAGAACATAAAGGTAAGTGGACAGCAGTAAAGTAGAAAGGCAAGCTGGCAGAAAAAAACTATTTGTCCAAACCTTTTTCCTACTCTGTATTGCTTGTTCAAGCCATACTAACTCCATCTCAATGTTCCTTCTAAGAGAAATCAGGGAGTCCTGGTCTGCCAAACTTGTGAGGTCAATTGCAAGATCATCATCTGTTCCACTGCAGGATAGCTCTACGTGAAAAGTACATTTAAACGTTTTAATAGAACTGTGTAATTAATTCACATTTGATTTAATGATGTATGCTTGTGGTTAATGATGTCCTATTTAATTTGTCTCAACTGTTAAACAGTTATGCTCAGCAACATTATTTTTTTAATATCTCAATTAATCATTAAACAATATAGTCGGTTTCTCTGCTCACAGCTAGTTTACGTATGTAAAATCAGGGATATACCTTTCACCTCATGATGACCATTTATATCTATAGAGTCTACATGTCCCAGGGTTGAATCATGAAGACCAAAGACAGTGTGCATCTCACCCAAAGGCTCTAGTGTATGTCCATCAACAATTGCTGGGAAGTCTGTCCCTGTAGCATCCTTGCTCCCTAATATTATACTGTCAAGTGACGCACTTGTAGATTTCTCGTGTATAATACTGCTGATGTGAACTTTCTTGACATCACATTGAATGTCAGAAATTTCTGGGTTGCATTCTGTGCTAAGCTCTTCACAAACACATGCTTGGACTTCCTTATGCACCATGCGCCGAGCACTATCAACATTTACCGGCACAGAAGTTTGAAGTTCTTGCTGATGGTTTTCAAACGTGTGTAGGTGACTAGACGCTCCACATCCATCGTTGTCAGCTTCGAAGTCATTGCACTCACACACAGCGAGTTGATCTTCAAGTTCTACATGCAGAGTTGATGAACAGACACCACTTGCAAATTTTGGGAAGCATGGAGAGCTAGTCGGCCAGCACACGGTGCTGGAGGAATTCAATTCTATCTCCCTGAAGGTTTCTTCAAACAATCGCCTACTTTCCTGCATTCGCTGGCGTACAAGTCTTCCTCGAAATGCTGCCTGTTAGAACAAAATCGTTTAAAAAAATTAGACATGAAAACGTATATTTAGGTATATATATCATGTTAACATAGCAAAAATGAGCAAATTCAGCATCTACAAACTTTTGCTGGCCATCAAGCGCCACCAAGCAGTAGGTACCGATAGGATGCAGGTGTTCCCAGTAATGGGGGATTGTCACTGAAACAGCGGTTCCTTCCATCCCAGGTTCACAACTCTACTGTCCAACCTTTTGCTGTAATATTGTGTAATAGACAGAATACACGATTCAGCAATATTTCAGTGAGCCCTCGAAGCCTACAGCTGTGCAAGGAAATCTGGCTAACGAAGTTCAACCAGAGAGACCGGGTACAAGGTGACATTGCGCAATAGATGCGTTGTTCCCCGACCGCCGAGAGCGGTTAAGCCGCGCACTTCCGCGGGACTGGGCGCACGCGACCGCGGTGTGTTGTATATAGCATCTCGCGCTGCCCGCTATACGAATTCGCGCGCCGAATCCGTATAGCGGGAAGCGTAACATCGCGCAGTTTTCGTCACACACCGGCTCGGCTATAGCGGCCTTGGGTGGGGGCATTTGCTGCTGCTGCTGCAGAGCCGCGCTGCGCGGCAGGGGCGAGTTTTGGTTGCTGCTGCTACTTTGCCAGTATCTACTTAGCTACGTGTAAAAACTGGCACGGCCACGCCACCACGTGCTCACAGTATTCGCTCGCCACGCCAGCGCAGGTGCTCGCACGACGTGCCGTCGCCACGGGCAGCGCGAGGTCAATAGGTTGGTAAAACCTCGCACGTACGCAGTCAGGCGCCGGCACGGCGTCAGCACTTTCGGAGATAGCATCTAGGCCCCGCCACCCCACGTGGAGCGCCGTACGACACTTCGTAAAAAGCTCTGTGATAGACATAACTCTATACTCGGCAGTAGCGCCCGTCATCGCGTAGCGGCCAATGAGCGAGCGCGTCATCGCTGATTGACAGCATTTCTGGAATTTTCTTGTAGGAGCCACTACGTCTTAGCCATGAGGCGCGCCACTCCAAAAAAAGTTTAGGGACCGTTTGGAGATGGCCTCAAGCCGTCCATCCCGAAATGTCGGTTGGATTGCGCCCAGTTTTCGCGGAGTGCGTTTTCAGACCCCTGTCTAAGGTATCTGTCTAAGTGGACAAAAAGGGGGCGGCGTATTCGCTGTTGGGGCGCGGCTTTGCCGCGAGCTGTGCGCTGCGCGCAAAAACCGGGGCCGCAAGTCCGTCCAGTAGGATGCCATCACAATCACTAACAGACTGAGTAGATGAAGAGATTCAAATTAATAATCCATTGGATTGCTTTAGAAAACATCATCAGTGCAAAAAAATTGCATTTTCTCTGAGACCAGAATAAATTGGAATCAAGAAAACAAACAAGAAACACCTTACGGGGTTGTAAGGTGTTTCTTGTTTGTTTTCTTGATTCCAATTTATTCTGGTCGTAGTAATAGCTCGTCAACCTCAAAATATTCCTACAGTGCAATATCAGTAGGCGCTGTCCTGCAGTTGATGAGCTATGCTATGAACCACTCTTGTTCTACATATTGTTAAATATACTTATCTGTCAGGAATCATCAAGCAAAGCTAACAAATACCACATAGAAATGATCCAGCGACAATGTGCATACTTCTAGCAACAGCACATCTTGTCAGAAATAGAATCTCTTGGGTGAAACTGGAGAGAAGAAGCATAATTAAAGGAGAGCTACTATACCAGATAACTTACAGGGTTCATAGTAGTAAGACACATGTTGAAATAAGGACTTATAAGACTCTTTCTGGAAGCCGAAATAATACTTTTTTACGCGATTTCTGATAGATCACCGACTATTAAAGTACACTAATAATATCAAGAGCATATAAGGAAGGAGAGCGTACAATGGTAAAATGCTGAAACCATGTTGCAGTATTAGTCGAATTAATAAACTTTCCCTGTGTTATTTTGACGATTCTTTGCAGTATTATTGATCAGCTGTCCTACCTTGTTCATATAAAACAAACCGCATGTCCCTACAATGCACATACGCTGAGATAATGAGTGGTGAAAATCTGGTATTTTCGCTGAACACCGACTAGACATTAGTCAATACTGCGACCCTCTCTCGAAGTGTGGCCAGTGTGTTGCTTCCGGTCGCCGCTGTGTAGCGCCATAGTGGCGCTGACTCACGTCATACTACCAGAGTTTACTATACATCTAGCATGAGGTGGGCGTGAGGTGGGCACAGGTGGGGGTCATCACTATGGCAATCAATAACAAACGTCATTCATTCCATTTGTCAATCATTGACGGAAACACGCGAGGTTTACCGAAGTTATAACACTTCGAGAGACAGTCACAGTAACTGACTGATCTCGAGTCAGTTTTCGGCAAAAATACCAGATTTTCACCGCTCATTATCTCAGCGTATGGGCATCGTAAGGACATGCGGTTTGTTTTATATGAACAAGGTAGGACAGCTGATCAATAATACTGCAAAGAATCGTCAAAATAACACAAGGAAAGTTTATTAATTCGACTAACACTGCAACATGGTTTCACCATTTTACCGTTGTACGCTCTCCTTCTTTATATGCTCTTGATAATATTTATATAAAGCCGTTTCACCGAAATTCAACACAGAAAATGTTGAAAAATGGTCCTTTGGCAAAAAATAAAGACTATTAAGTACTTTTCTAAGATTTCACTAAAAACAAGTACTAATAAGGGCCCTTATTTTATTTTTGGCAAAATAAGTACTTATAAGACTTTGGAAGACCCGCTACGAACCCTGTTACTGCTATGTCGAAGTTACCACAAACTGTCCCATATCAGCTTCAGCATCGATCCAAGGAACCCAGCACTGATTCTTCCAGCCCTGCTCACGTGTGAAAAGCTACTACTATCAGTATCAGAGCTTCATTTCATACAGTGGAACCGATATCCGTACTACACTGAAGATATCACACAACAGACCGAATTAGATTGTCTATATTTTTAAAATATTTAACTTGAGAAACTTGTGCTTAGCACTGGACCCAGCCATTCACACCAACTAGCTGTCAATACTTGCTGAACCTGCCTATCTAACTGTGACCATCTACAAGGGTGTCATGTTCTCAGTTAGCTCTACCTGTGTAGCCCCTTTGCTCTCATCACAGGTAGCATGTGCAGTAGGTATTCCAAGTGAGATGGTTTATATAATAATTGTTCCTAAACCTGCGATGTTGCTGTGCTGGGAATGCTGTTTCAAGATTGCTATGCAGATAATTTCATCTTGAGTTAGGCATTTGGTACTCATAAAGATCAGGGGTAAAAATAAGGAGACAAAAAGAGATGGTCCACACTCCACAGGACCATCTAGTTTGAAATTTAGATGGTCCTCCTAAATTTCAAATTGTTCTCTAAAAGTAATGCGGCGTGCAAGCGTAAGAAAGAGATTTTACATGGTGATAAAATGGTTTAATTATTCACCTACAATGAATGTATCAAATGATACAATAATTGTTTATTCACTTTTTATATTGGAACAGAGAAACTTTAAAGAAAATTACCGTAAAATGGGACCAAAATATTGACTTTGAAAATCTGATGGTCCTACTGATTATTTGATAGCCATTATAATTAATATATATAGAGTATATATAACTCTATATATATTCATTATAATGGCAACACAGCACACTCGCAGCGGTGAGTGCGGGAGCGTTCTGCATTAGTTTTTGTGAAAGAAAGTTGATATACAGTCACACAACAGTGGAAGTGTAATTGAGAGGTCATATTTGTGAACGTGCGTTCATATTATTTTCAGTTTTAACTTACTAATTCTAGCTGTCCCAAGTGCCTGTGGCTGTGCGCACACACGCACATACTGCGACACACATAATATATGTTATGTGTGCTGTAGACTACAGCCTGAGTACAGCACTACAGCACACAGACTACACTACATCATAGTCGGTGGTAGACAGTCACAGTGTCAGTAACTGTGACAGTGTGCACGGACTACTGTAGTACTGTACAGTGTAGGCTAGATACAATAATGTAACCCTCACCCAGGATAGGTTCCTATAGGTTTGGGTTACATTATTGCATCTAAATTAAGTGTAGGCTAGCTCTAGTACTATAGCCCGCGTACAGTTGCTGCAGGCAAATGGCAACTGCGGCAACGAGGCCTGCGGCAACTGTACACGGGCTATAGTACTAGAGCTAAGTGTAGGCTAGATACAATAATGTAACCCAAACCCAGGATAGGTTCCTGGGTTTGGGTTACATTATTGTATCTAAGTGTAGGCTAGCTCCAAGAAACGGTCTTTGCTACTATGCTAGGGTTAGGGGACCCTCAATGTGTATATATTGACGTTAGTCACACAGCCTGGTCGGGTTAAGTGTAGCTGTAGGCTAGCCACAAGTTCCTTAACACTACCTCCTACCTACCACCTACCTACAAGGTCCTTAACACGTTCCTTAACAAGTTCGCTTAACACTACGTGGCGAGAGGACAGTCGAGAGGCCGTGTAACAGTCGGAGAGCCTGGTCGGTTTAGCCGTAGGCCTACTGTGTAACATGCGTTAGTGACAGCTGCGACTAGGGGCAGCGCTTCTCCCAAGTCCGAAAGGCGCCGAATTATTTAACTTGATTTTTTTTTGAATTTCAATTAGGGGGATAGGGTTAGGGTTAGGATTACTATTAGGGTTAGGATTAGGATTAGGGTTAGGATTAGGATTAGGGTTAGGGTTAGGGTTAAGGTTAATTAACTGATTTCTATATCCACAACTTATTTATACTAATAATGCGCCATCTAGCGGATCACTATCTTTCCTCTGAGACCTATGAATGAATGAATGAATGACCTACTATTTCGGACTTGGGAGACGCGCTGCCCCTAGAGGCATTCGTTAGTGACTACCAAAGATCGTATAGTGCCGGAGGCACAAGATAAACCACTCTCCAATATTAGCGTAGTAGGTCATGGGTCGCCACAACCACCATTTTAGGAAGCAAGTTCACACGAAGTTCCCGGATGTTGCTGTATCTGCTACTGTGCAACTGTCTGCTGTGTGCTGTCAGCTCAGCTTACTGTTCTGCTGTAAATTGCTCGAATCATCAGTGTAAGCCCGACCTGTCTTTCTTCAGGTTCCCCAAGAATACGGAAAGGTGAGAAAACATTCTTTTTTGTCGAATCCATCGTGAAAGAGTTGTTCAATCTCGTTGAAACATGAGTATCGCAGTGGCAGTGCAGTGGCTCTCTTATTCTTGTTGTTTGTGTATACACAGGGCGTACGTGGCGGTGTTGTGTGTTGCAGATGAGCATTTAAACGGCATTTACAGCAAGTTATCGACAATAATAGGCAAAATAGAGTAGAGAACATTAATACTTTGAATAGTAGATACATTTAGTGTTTATTTACCATTATTTGTTTGAGACGGTCCAATGAAGTGCCTGTGCACTGTACCACTGTCGGACACTACACCACTGCACTTAGTCCGAGATTCCTCTGACCAATGCCCACACCGACGATTTTGGTGGTTTTGGTGTGGTGGTGTGGAACTAACCCACACCAAAACCACCAAAATCGTCGGTGTGGGCATTGGTCAGAGGAATCTCGGACTACACTGCACTGTGTACATACTAACATAGTAACATCCGATTATGAATCATTGTTAGATTTTTGTACACTTGAATGAGAGATTTGATACAGCTATTGCCAGTATTGGCATAAAAATATTATCTATTAGGCCTACATTATATTATAATATATATAATATATGTGTTAACCATGGTTATCCATATTATTTCTATGTATCAAACAGACGCGGAGCGGGTTTTGCTTCCCAAAATGGCGGACGTGCCGCTCCATTACGTACTACACGTCATTGCACGTGATTTCGCATGAGTGGTTTATCTTGTGCCTCCGGCACTATACGATCTTTGGTGACTACTGACAAGTACTAGTAGTACTAGTAGTGGGTGCAAAGTTGCGTTTGTACCATAGCATGACGAGCAGTTATTCAACTTTTCATCTCAGACGCAGACGACCGTAATAGTAATACTAATAGAGCATTAAACACATAATAGTGTCGATTTTGTTTACATTTGAAAAAGACGCTGCAATAACTGGAATATATCTTTCGACAGGTGGCGCAACACGGACAATAACAGAACAGCGGTAGTTCTCAGGTTTACATGTTGCAGTTGCACCAGCATGTCGAAATCTATGTAGAAATAACATTAGCAATGTAAAGATAACCTACTATCTCTAAAGATACTAAGCTAGGTATAGTGACAAAGCATGCAGCCAACTGAAGGGTCGCTTCTGACATAGCCACCTAGTTGTTAACATGGATAATATATGTGAAGACGATATGATGATGATACCAGACCAGAAATATGAATGTAAGTTAGGCCCTACTCAGACGTCGACTGACCAGGTTGTACTGGCAGTGGCACTGGGCGCAAATCCACTTTAGGCACCTTATGTATCACGAACTTACGAAGTGATGCACAAATTTCTGTGTATCATCAACTGATGCACAGACTTTTCGTATATCAAGGAATGATGCAAAAACCCTAACCCTAACCCTAACCCTAACCCTAACCCTAAGTCATAAAGTATAACCTTACTCCTTAGGTATCACGAAGTGTGTTATGGTTAGGGTTAGAGTTGGGCTTAGGGTTAGGGTTAGGGTTTTTGCATCATTCCTTGATATACGGAAATTCTGTGCATCAGTTGATGATACACAGAAATCTGTGCATTACTTCGTGATACCTAAGGCTAAGGTGCCTAAAGTGGATTTGCACCCCCATTTTCTCTATCCTTGGGCCCATTGTTTTTGTAGGTACCGA